AGCTCCAGCTTTTCATTCTTTTTCCTTTTCTTTTTTTTTTTTGTGGTCAAAAGGAGACATGATGTTTCACAGTGTGAACAGTTTTGAAAGGTCCGACATTTTCAGTGAACAGAGCGCTATTGTGTAAAGGGCTCTGACAAGCATTATTCAGGGGGAAAATACATCAAAGGGATGTGAGTTGAAAAGAGAAAAAGTTTGACGATGTAGAGATTGGAGGCAGCATGTGCTGACAGGTGCAATTATGGCCGAATAATTGGGTCTTTTAAGGAGGATCTGGCGAGATCAGGCAATAGCTGTGGACTCACATCAGAAACTGTTCACAATTAGACATTCAGGGGTCCAGCAGTGGGTGCCATAACCGAGGCCGGGAACTACTTTACCTGCAGGACATGAAGGCAGTTGCACTTTGTAAAACAGGGTGAAATGGCATGAGTCAGCCCAGTGCAACTGAGCTGAAGCCACGGCTGGAGAGAAGGCCTCGTCTCCCCCACTCAGTCTCCCAGTGGTCTGCAACCTCTTCCAGCCCCGGAGAGCTGTAGTCAACCTAGCGTCCAAGTCCTTCAGTCGTGAAGACATTCAAGAAAATGTCAGCTTCTCAAAGTTAATGAATTGCTTTTATTAGTGAACATTAAAGATCTTTCCACTGCAGTTTCCCTGGTCCACACCCCAGAAATTATCAGAAGACCCTGGGATAGAGAGAACAAGCTGGTGTTTCTTTTTGAGAAAGTTCCACTAGTGTCAGTACAGGTAACCACCTTCTTTCTGGCGTGAAAATATGGTGCCCCCAGCCTGGCTCAAGGACAAGCTGGTTCCTGCACTGCCTCCCCACTGGCTGGGGGATCCCAGCGGAAGGTCTTCCCGGGGTCTCTACCTGGACACGGGGCTGAGAGAGGGCACAGAGTAACAAAGTCCTGAGCCATCATTTCTGCTTCTAATGGGGCAGAGGGCTCCCCTCCTGTGCCATTAATCCTTCGGTTAGACATCTTGCTTCAGGCTCTCATTGTTTGTTTATTTTTGGAGAGAAAGAGAGAAGCTTGGATGTGAGAAACATTGATCAGTTGCTTCCCAAACCATGGCCAGGGATTGAATCTGAAACCTAGGCGTGTGCCTGACTGGGAATCGAACCCATGACCTTTTGGTGTAGGGGTTGATGCTCCTACCAACTGTGAGCCTCACCGCCCAGGGCCAGGCTTTTTCTCTCAGTGAAACAATAGAACTTAAACGGCTGGATTTTTCTTTCCTCTATAATTCCTCTTCTAGGTATAGTTGGATTACCTTGCCATTGTAATGCTGTTAAAGATTCCTAAACTGGCTGTGAGGTACAAGTTTCTGATCATGGCACGTTCACTTAAAATCCAGGGGATAGCTCTCTTCCTACCACAGAGAACGGGCTCCTTCATGTCTCGAGATCTCTTGTATTTCCCTGGTTCTCGCCTTTCCAATCGCCAGCTTTCCACTTTCCTTCCTACCCTTTAGACTCCATTAGGACCGAGGTAGATGGAAGGCTGTCTGCTGCAGCAGCTTCCTCAAGTACATAACAGGCTCAAAAGTAGATCCGGTACCGCACCGAGCATTCACCAGCACAGTAGGCACTGCCTCTCCTATGCTCACATTATGATGCACTTAGCTCTGTGTCTGACCACAGCAAGCATTTAGTATGTGTCGGCCACAAAAGTTAGTTTTGTTTCTGCTCACTTTGCTTATCTATACCGAGAGCTAATACCAGCATCAGTATTTCCCTGGAGTTTGATATCTCGTCTAATTTTGGAGTTACTGTTGTCATATTTTTCCGCCTGGGTCAGTGGGATGTTTTAGTATTTACAGTGGTGTATTCAGATTTATCCAGGGGGGGGGGGCACTTGATCCTAATTCCAACAGTGGTGCAGACAGCGTGACCTTTTAAAAAACTGATCACAGGCGTGAGTCTATGGGGTCCACTCCTACCATGGAAGCATTAGACATTTAACTGGATCAAATACACACCAAAGGAATAATTAGCTACCTGGTGTCCTTTCTGTCACCTCCTTTCATTATTCTCTAGTATTAATGATGTGGTTCTAGTGAAATTAAATTTGAGCAGCTCAAAAGTACATACTCACATTCAGCTTCAATTTCAAGTGCTGGTTGCTTGAAGTTTCCTGGAAGAGCTCCTAGCATCATTAATTATGTATTGGGTTTCCACTCTGGCTATGTCTCATTATCATCCAGAAAGTTTTAAAAACTTTCTCAGCCCTGGCTGGTTGGCTCAGTTGGTTTGAGTGTTATCCTGTACACCAAAAAGTTGAAGGTTCAATTCCCGGCCAGGGCACATACCTAGGCTGCAGGTTTGATTCCCCGTTGGGGTGCATGTGGGATGCAACTGATCCATGTTTCTCTTTCTCTTCCTCTCCATTTCTTTCTCTTTAAAGTCAATAATAAAACATATCCTTGGGTGAGAATTTAAAAAAAATACAGAGGCCCAGGTCCCAAAGAGTCGGCCTGAATTGGTGTTAGCTAGGATCCATTCACTGGTAACTTTAAAAAGGCTCCTCAAGTAATTGGGGGAGTTGAAGAAAACTGACTATTGGACAAGAGACTTTGGATATGCTGACTACATTTTTACTTGGGCTAGGTAACTTGGGTGACCTCTCCTTCTCAAAAACTAAGGCCTGCCTCCCTTCTCATTTACTCTACAAATACAAGTTAGAACAATAGAACAGAATGAGTATAGGTTTAAGGCAGAGGAATATTACTTCAAATCTTGTCTCTGTCTCTTATTAACAGAGTGACCTTGCAAAGATGCTTAAATTTACTGACTTTTAGCTTGCCCATTTGGTAGATGAAATAATAAGACTTCTTTGTAAGTGAAGGTTAAATTAACAATGTGATATGAAAACATTTTATACAATACCCAGGACACAGTAAGAACTCAATATATGCTATCTTTCTTTTTATTTCTTTCTGTTTTTTATTTTATTCATGGGTAAAATGAGAGGCTTAGTCCCCAGTTCTTTGCCTTAAACATAATGATTAGAGAAAAAATGCACAGCACATCTTATTCTCCACAAATTCAGTTTATGTGCAAGAAGAAAGCTTTTGGCACACAGTTGACAGGGAACGGATTTGGAGTTTCTTTTAGTATCATGTCCACATATGTCATTTGGCTGCCCTTTCACTTGGTGTGTCTATGAAGTGGCCGGCCAGTGGGGATGTGGTTTCAGTTGTGGGAACAAGATTTTTTTGAGTGAACAGTGCCATCTGTTTTATCTGGGCATCAATCTTGTGTCTTTGACCACCGTTCACTTGCTTCAACCACATGACCATCCAATCTACTTTATACTGTAATATGGTGGTTGCACCTGGCATTTATATTATAGCACTTATTTGATGTGATACACTTCAGAGGAGCCCAGGTGAAATCAGGAAACATCTTTCAATTACAACCTGGCTAATTGGTTTTTGTAAAGAAAGTAAAATATTGCTGCCTCTTGATCCATTCCCAGAGAGGCACAGGGGACTTCATTCCAATATAGTGTGGTTTCAGGAAACAGTCTGTAATTCATGGAGATGACTCAGTAAGTCATCTGCCTTGATAAATTGTGACACACATTGCCTTTGCCTGATCATTCGGCTCCAAATGGAAGCTCAGGCAAATGAGTGAGGTTCTAAGCTTCTTTTATTACTTAGTTCAGGCGAACCAAAGCAAGGGCTAGGAGGGTCTTGCATTCTGCAGGGAATTGCTTGTGTTATAGGCAGATAAATTGTCTGTGAATGAAGCCACTTTGGCGACGACAATATGATCCTCTGCTGTTTCCCAGAGGCTGGCAAAGTGTAACATGAGATGCAGTGCAACCGAAGGAACAGTTAGGATCAAGAATTTGGAAGTCATAACAAACTGGGTAAAATCATATTTTGGTTTTATCACTGCCTATAGCAAGAGTCAGCAAGCTTTTTTTCTGTAAAGTGCCAGCTAGTAAATATTTCAGGCTTTGTGGGCCATATGATCTCAGTCACAACTACTCAACTCCGCTGTTTTAGTCAAAAGGGGTCACAGATAATACATAAATGAATGGGCATGGCTGTGTTCTATTAAAACTTTTTTTTACAAAAACAGGCAAAGGGCCAGATTTGGTCTATGGCTGTAGTTGGCTCACTCCTGAGCTACAGGATCTTGTACTAATAAGTTGCTTTAATACTCTAATCCTTTAAATTTCTCTTGAGGATTGAAATATATATTATATATATATTGAAATATATATTATATATATTGAAATATATTATATATATTGAAATATATTATATATATTGAAATATATATTATATATTGAAATATATATTATATATTGAAATATATATTATATATTGAAATATATATTATATATTGAAATATATATTATATATTGAAATATATATTATATATATATTGAAATATATATATATATATATATATACACACACACACACACACACACACACACAATGAGTGACCAGATTATTATGATCTCTGGATGCATAATAATCTGGCCACTAAGTGTGCATATATATTAGAGGCCTGGTGCATGAATTCATACATGAGTGGGATACAGCCAGCCTGGTCTGGGGAGGGGACATGGGTGGTTGGCCAGCCTGGCTGCTGCTCGAACTTTTGGTTGAGGGGACAATTTGCATATTAGTCTTTTATTATATAGGATATACACTGAGTGGCCAGATTATTATGTATTCAGAGATCCTAATAATCTGGCCACACTTACCTTGTGCTTGGTATAAAGTAAGCACTTGTAAATAGTAGTCGCTATTATTTTACTAAAAATATTATATATCATAATTTAAGATGCCATTGACTGTAAGGTACATCCTTATTTCAGAGTTGTTAAAATGTGATAAAAGTCTTAGAATGATGAAATTAACAGGAATTAATTTCAGTAAACATATCAAGGTTATGTTTAGGATTTTAAGTCTTGTCTACCAGTGATAGTTAAAGCTTCTAGCATAACATTTCTTTGTGATGTTTTTCTTGTCAGAGACACATGCCATGAACTTCTGGGACATGTTCCACTACTTGCGGACCCCAAGTTTGCTCAATTTTCACAAGAAATAGGCCTGGCATCTCTGGGAGCATCAGATGAAGATGTCCAGAAACTAGCCACGGTCAGTTTATTTTCAACTTAAAAACCTATGCTACTTATGTTCATTTGTAAGGTAAGGAAAGCTTTACAATTATCAACTATGGATTTTAAGGTGAAGATGCTGGATAGGGCATGGTGACTTTATCTCCTCTCGTGTTGTGTTCTTTTGAAGCAGTGTGCTTCTGGCTTATTAACCACCCAAATGCTTGTGTTTGATTCTTCTCATTCAGGCTTTGGCTAAGTAGTAAACCTTTTAGTTCTGCAGGTCATAAGGTCTCTGCCACAATGACTCAGCTCAACCATGATGGTGCAGAGGCTGCCAGTTTGTCAATGAGCGAGTATGGCTGTAGTCCAAGAAAACTTCATTCATAAAAGCTGGTGGTGGGTCAGGCTTGCTCTGTGTGCCGTAGTTTTCTGACTCTCATTTTTCAATGTCGACTTCCTAGAAATATTAATAATAGTAAAAAATACACATTTATGGTTAAGTAGGGGTTGTGCTTGGGATTACGTCATTGGCTAGTTGCTATGGTTGTACTCAGACACAAGTTGAGTCAGCAATTAACTCAGGCTAAACAGTTATTATATGTACAAAACCAGAAAATTTTTATAGAGTCTATGGTCTCAGCAAGTTTCTTCTCAAAACATGCAGTATGAGAGGGAAGGTGTAGTATTGGCAGCTACCTTGACGAAGCTGATGAGCCATGTTCTGACTTATTTTAGCCCCATTTCAAAGAGCCCATAAGAAAGAGCAGGCTTGGCAAACTCACTTACCTACGGGGACTAGTCAGGTAGTCTAGGTGAGCAGAGCTCCAAGAGGAAGAAAAAATCAGGATCCTAAGTTGTGTGTATTTGATGCAGATACAGTTAGAGCATATTAGACATGCGAGAATATTCTGCACTTCCACTAAGAAGTAAGTTTTTTTCTTAGACTTCTTAAGACACACAGCCCTTTCAGTATATCGTTTGTCTCCTACTTTTGATAGGGATATGAGAGCTGGCAAACACTTCTCCACTAAAGGAGGAACAGCACTGCCAAAGCCACACTGCTGGTCATGAAGAGGGGCTGGTGGGACTCCAGTGTCCTCCGGGAGAGCATGCGTCTTCTCCAGCGGAAGGCTGGTCCGCTTCCTGCTCACGGCTGCCACATGGACATGCAGGCCTTTTTGTGTTGCCAGATCTCCACATTTCTGAGTGAGACTGGCAATCTAGATTTCTAAGTAGAATTGAATGATTTTTTAAAATTTGGCTCATAAAAAGTCTACCATTTAGAGATGAGAAAAATATATTTGTAGACCTTTTTAGGTTCTTGACTTTCCAATTTGTCACCTTCGCCCTAGGGCTGTGATCTGCAAACTGCGGCTCGCAAGCCACATGCGGCTCTTTGGCCCCTTGAGGGTGGCTCTTCCACAAAATACCACAGCCTGGGCGAGTCTATTTTGAAGAAGTGGAGTTAGAAGAAGTTTAAGTTTAAAAAATGTGGCTCTCGAAAGAAATTTCCGTCATTGTGATGTTGATATTTGGCTCTGTGGACTAATGAGTTTGCCAACCAGTTGCCCTAGGGAATATATCTCATTTATATTGACTATTTTACTGCATGACACATGGCCCCCAAACTTAGAGGCTTCAAACAATGAACATTTATTACCTCAGTGTGTTTGTCGTTGGGACGTTGGGAACAGCTCAGCTGGGTGGTTCTGGCTCAGGGTCTCCCCTCTAGTTGCTGTCAAGCTGTGGGCCTGTGATTGTCTGACAGTTTGGGATCTTATCTCAACATGGGTCACTCATGTGGCTAGGAAGTTGTGATGCCTTTTTTGACTTGATCTCATGCTGTTCATATCAGCCGTATTCCATTCATTAGAAGGGACTCACTCCTGCCTACCCTCAATGGAGGGGAAATTAGGCTTCACTTTTTTTGGAAGAGGAGTGTCAAAGTGTTTATGGATATATTTAAAAAACGATCACACATGAGTCCTATTATTTAATTCTCAAAATTTGGATCTGGGTTTAAACTCCACGTTTTGGAATCTTTTCCATGCCTTTTAAATTTTCCTTGAAATTTTCTGCTTTCAGCCTTTGACCTCCACCTTTTTTTTTTTTTTTTTTTTTTTTTTTTTTTTTTATCAAGGATGAATGTATTGCTTACTTGTTTGACTCTGAACAGTCACAAACTGGGATTTAACTGCCAGGTTGTATGTGTGTGTGTGTGTCTAAAGAGAGGAGGAGAAAGACCAAGGTAGGACTTGATGAATGTGAGTGAAAGTGGATCCTAGTGAGTGAGTGATCATTTTTCTTAAAAGCAGTGACAAGAAAGCAGTTTGACTGTTCCTTATTTTTTACACTCCATCAAATGATGATTAATTAACTCCATCTTTCAAACCAACATGTACAAAGAACACGACATGGTCCCCACTTTTCAGACCTTGATAGCCTATATAGAAAATAAAACAAAATTTTTCAGAGGAGAGAAAGTTTGTACTGAGTCTTAAAAGATGAGAAAAAGTCAGCCAAGTGGTAGAGAGGAAAAGGGGGGAATAGAGATTTCTTCTATCCAGTTTCAGCTGGAAGAAGAAATCTCTCTGGTTTGGGGGCTCAACAGGGAATGCCTGCTCCTCAGTTTTGAGGACGAAGCTGAAGGGTTGCCTTTTGTGTCCACTTTCTTTTGCTGCTGTAACCAATTATGCATGGCTTAAAATGACACAAGTTTGTCTTACAGTTTCATAAGGTTGGAATTCCAATAGAGTTTTCACTGGGCTGAAGTCAAGGTGTTGGCAGGACTGTGTTCCTGTTGAAGGCTCCGGGGGAGACTCTGTTTCCTTTTTCTGTCTTCTGGAGGTTGCCCGCTTTCCTTGGCTCATGGACCTCTCCTTCCACCTTCCAAGCCAGCATGTTGCATCTTTCTTCCTTTTCTTCCTTTGTCACATCTCTCTCCCGCTGACTATTGCTGGGCATGGCCTTTCCTTTTAAAGACTGATAGGACACATTGAGCCCACTGGATAATTCATGCCACCCTTATCATATCTACTAAGTTAACATCTTTATAGATTCTGGGGATTAGAGCATGAACATCTTTAAGGACATCATTCTTCATTTCTATTTTAATATTTATAAGAAAAAAAGCTAATACATGTACCTTGAAAACTATTCACTAAGACCGGTAAATCTGTAGGATGATCAAGTTTCTTTTGGAACGTATATTTCTTAGCATGATTCCAATACCGTTGGCTGGGAATTACCCTGGCTCTAATAGCTGAAAACACTTTCATCTGTTAGAGAGCATTAGGTCATTAATCATGTTTCTCTCTCTCTCTTTCTCTCTCTTTTTTCATTATCCTTTCCCTGGAATGTACCTGCCTTTGAAATAGCCAATCAAGTGAACAGACATTCTTTAAGAGGCTAAAGAATCTCAGGCACCATGAAAAAGGGATAAAAAAACAAAACAAACAAACAAAAAACCCCCTAAAAGGTGGTACTTGCTTCAAAGAACTAACACCTTAGCACACAGAAATACAGAACACTCCAAGTCAGTGTCAACTTTTATTGAGATACATGAGCAGATATGTAGGAGAAGTGGGTTTAAGGTAAATCTCCTAAGTGGGTGTGAGTTCTGAGATTGGAGACTGGAGTTCAGAATGAGAGCAGGAGCCAGCAGAGAGGTTGGATGGGAGGTGACTGGTGGCAGGTGAGGGAAGACCAAGGCTCTTTCAAGGGAGCTAACCTGCCTGGAATCTTGCAGTTAAAAAAAAAAAATGCAACCAGAGCATAAACTTGCAAAAAACTTTCACCTGAAAGATGTTGCGTCTCTTCTAAAGGCAGTGGAGATCTGGGGTGGAGAGCTGCTGTCTCACCGGGGTTTTGCCTGATCTTATTTCTCGTTTCCCCATATGGCACGAGCCCCACCCGACTCTCTTTGGTTTCCCCTTTCGCAAGCTTCACGGTGCTGACCCTTCCCAATTTTAGAGATTGCCCACTTCCTTTGAACAGTGTTTTGCAGACCGAGGGGAAATTTGGAAAGCCTTTTCCGTGTGACATGGAGGCTCTAGAGGATAGACTCACAATGGAGGAGTCAGGGCGACTTTTCCTGAAATGATGCGAAAACTTCCTTTGACTTCTCGAACCAGTGCCATCCCTCAGTTAGAACCAAAGTGAATGAAAAACTGCCAGAATGTGGTCTTACAAGAAAACACAGATTTCAGCCAGGCAATCTCAAAGTAAGCCCTGGAATAAATAACCTATCAAGAGACAAGCATATTAATGACCCTCAAGCTGAGTGTGAAGCTAGAAGCCAAATTTGATGACCCAATTGCAAGCACCAAGAGACTGGAGCTCAGGTCTCAGTAGGAAGGGTGCCATGTCCATGGTGGACGATAGTGGCAGCTAGCAAGCCCTCTTAGCTGTCCAGATGAGAAATGGAGGTGTTATTAGCTGATTTCCTCAAAGTTGTTGCCATTAAGGCCCCTGAAGAAATCCTAGAATAAAATGTGATGAGATGTACCGGAGAAGAAAAATCCATCGAGAAGGCAAATGGAAAACCATGGAAATCACATTATGCAGGCCAATGAAACAGGCCGTATGACTCTCTTACTCTAGGTGAGATTTATATTATTAATGACTTTGTTTATATCGTGCCTGCTTGTCCTTGTTTCGTGAATTTGAGCACCGATGCGAAAGAGAGTCATGCCTGGTGAAAGCAGACACTTAATAACTTTCTGTGATGTGCTGTCAAGGAATCCATCTAAGGAAGAAAACAGCCCCACCAGGACTAATGGGACTGCCAAACTCTGTCTGGTCCCAGCTGCGTTCGAACTTCTGGGTTCTGATTTCAGAGGGACCAGGCTGTTGCCTGGAGCTACTGCCTTCCGTTGCTATATTTCTGCCTGTTATTTATTCTGACATTTTAATAATGCTCAGTTTTGAGAATGAAGCTATCTCCGCTGTTTTATGTGGGCAATGGTTTCCACGCCCTGAGAACCATTTAAATGAAACTCTTTTGTATCTGAAGAAATTGATGCCGCTGCTTGGTAA